TGACCGATGCTCCTCATCTGTGAGGCAGGAACTGTCACCAGGGTAATAGGTTAAAAGAAAAATAGCGTCTAGAAAATCTCTAACATATAGAAAATTCTGGGTGACGTCACATACTATCTTCTCTGCTTTACTCGAAACTGTATCCTTAGCTTCTTAGCAGTTCCTATGGGCTTCAATACCTCATGCATGGATAGTGGCCTGAAAGAAGAAAGGAACTGTCCCATCTCGACCAGCAGATGGCGCCTGGATATCAAGAAAAGAGAATGGGGGCAATCACAACGCCTCTGCCAATAGATGTCTCTTCAGGTTCGCGAGATGAAGAAGACACACTGAAAAGCTTGGGAAGACTCTTCCCAGGCAGGACCCTGAAAAAGTATCCAAAAGAGAGCCAGAAGGTTAAATCTTACTCAAAACTGAAGTGAAGAAGCCAAGTCTAAATTATGTTTCAGGGTCACACTCCGAAAGTTTGTTTTAGCGTTGCAGGGGTGGAGCGTTGCAGGTTGCTCCGGTTGGTCTTGGAACAGTTGAGGCTGGCTTTGAACTCCTGAACGTAATACTTCTGTCTCCCAAGAGGCAGGACCACAGGCATCTTCATCAAGTTTATTCCCTTTGTGAAACAGTAGGGAGGAACTGGCCACCCAGGCATCTTAAATCATCGCAATTACAGTTTAATGAGGTGGGGGGTTGTGGGAGTAGCGAAGTGCAGGGAGGGAGGTCAGAGCGCCCTGTGTGATCCTCTCCCTTTGGATATGTATATCACCTGGGTAGGACTGAGGCTCGGGGAGTTCTGAAAATATTTTCTGGGTACTAGGGTGAGGACCTAAAAGGGAGACAGTTTCCCCCCCGTCCTGATGTGGGCAAGGGGCAAGAAAAGTGGCCAGTATAGGCGAGGAACCAGACGCACAGCAGTGAGAGTCCTGATGCTATGCTGGGAGAGGGTGCTGTGCTAACGGGGGCTCAGGGCCTGGGACAGCTGGCTGCACCTCCAAGATGTGAGGAGGAGCTCTCATGGCCAGAGAGCAAGAGAGGGAGGGCATTAGTCACGCAGTTCTGGGAGACGAGCTGGTCCAGCCCAGCGGTTCAACACTTTCTCTCCCTCCTGGTCAAAAGTCACTGGGTCCAGGGACAGCAGTCTACACAGCTCTAAGAAATCCTTGCCCCCCCCCTTTGATTACACACACACACACACACACACACACACAGAGAGAGAGAGAGAGAGAGAGAGAGAGAGAGAGAGAGAGAGAGAGAGGTAGCTGTAGAATCCTTTTTAAAAGTAGGGTTACATGTAGCCCAGAGTGACCTGAAACTTTCTGTGACACCAAGGATGACCTTGAACTGATCTTTTTGTCTCCATCTCCCAAGTGCAGGAATTGCAGGCATGCAGGCATATGCTACGACATCCCATCTATGTAGATCTGGGGACCAAGGTCAGGGTTTTATACATGCTAGGAAAACACTCCCCCAATTAAGCTGCCGCCCTAGCCTGTCCACTTAAAAAAATAAACATCTGAGGTTTTATTTTTTGTATGTGTGTATCTCTATGTGTATGGAATATATGTACAGGTGCTTCAAGACCAGCAAAAGACTTGGATATGAAGCTACAGGCGGTTCTGACCCCCCAGTGTAGGTGCTGGGAACCAAAGTGGCATCACTGGAAGAACAGCAAGTGATCTTAACCTTTGAGCCATTTCTTAAGTTCCCGCTTTTTTTTTTTTGAGATTTAAATGGAAAAGCGTTTTAAATTTTATTCATGTCCGCATGCATATGTGCATTCACGTGGGTGTGTAAGGAGGCCAGCAGAGGGCACTAGGTCCTCCGCAGCAGGTGTGAGCTGCCTGACATGGGCGCTGGGGTCTGAATCCTGGTCCTCTACCAGAGCAGTAAGTCCTCATTAGGCACTGAGCTACTCTCCAGCCCCTGCGGCTGTTGCTGTTGTTTGAGGTCTCATCCTGGCCTAAGACGCCCTCAGACTTTTGGTTATCCTCCTGCGTTGCCTCCAGACACCTGTGGTTTGTGTGCCACCCTGTCTGGCTTCTTTTGTAATAAAAATTTATTATTTTTTAATTTTTCCATGTGATTATTGATAGTGAGTCCTTTTCCATCAAAGTCTCCCAGCGTGAGTGGCCAACTCAGGGACTTCCCTGACATCCTATGTTTGCATGGCCGCATTCGCAGTGACCCTGCGTGGCACCATCTGGACCCAGAACAGCAGTAAGATCTGGTTCTTGTATGTGAGCCCTGCGCTCAGCAGGTGTTCAGCAGAGCCAGTGCAGGAGGAAGGGTGGGTTGAAAGGCAGGGACTTGAGCTCAGGCACCCAGAATCAGCCCGTTGCTCCCCTCACAACAGACATGGGCCCCGGCACACCTGCTACCTCCAAGATCAGGACTCCTTCAACCTGTCTGAAGCAATTGATGGTGCCCCCACCCCACCTCCCACTGTGCTGTCTTTTTTTTCCTCCCTAGGTTTCCATGGTTCATCCTGGCTTCTGGAAGTGGTACCACAGGAATAAGAAGATGCCGAATCCGGAGGTGATGGACCCACCAAGTACTCGGGGAAGGCCAGCCTTGGAGGCGGGAGTTCTGGCCTCTGTGTGACCCGAAGCAGCTACTGTACACTCTGAGCTTTGGTCTCCACACCCATTCAAGGAAAAGTGCGTTGAGCATCTTCTATCTTCAATCCCCGGAAAAGCTGCCCCCGCAGGATGCTGAGGGAAGTGAGAGGGCGCACGAGGTGGGGTGAGGTTGTGGAGCAGCGTTATTAACTGCCCTCCTCGCTTCTCTCAGCCTAGGAAAGGCCATGCCAGTAAATTAGGGCCGAGCATCTGCCAGGCCGACTTAATGAAGATGGAGAAGGCCTTCAGTCGGAGGCAGTGTCTGCAGAGGTCACAGCCTGAATGGAAGAAAGACAGAGCTGCAGAGAGACAGGGAACTCTAGGGGACAGTGCCAGCCTGCGCTAGAAAGGTGGAGACTTACTCGGCAGCATTCCCCAGCACACAGGACTTGCAAGGGTTCAGATGGCCTGGGAAGACAGGTGCTTAGTCAGATTCGAACTTGGTCCTCAGGCTCAAGCCAGGCCCTCATCGGCTCTCACTCTAGATCTGAGGAGCAAGAATGGTCTCAGGGTCACCAACACCAGAGGTTCCCAGAGAAGTTTGGCAATTTTGAACCTCTTATGGGGATCACAGAAACCTGGGAAGTCTGCCCGTCTCTCTGAGTGCTCACAGGGTTCTTGTCTACCACAGTCTTGACAGTTCCACCCACAGTTACCTGCCGTCACCTGCTCACTGCCCTACCTGCTCTCTAAGGAGACATCCAGAGATAACTTTGCCCCTGCCACTCTGTCCCTGCTGCCCCATTCTCCGGGCCTCTCCCCACCCCTTATTTGTAGCAGCTCCTGGGAGAGGCTTTGGATTGAGTGGATGGTATGGGGAGTCAGGGTGGCTCATTCCTGGAGGCACAGAACTAAGGAGGCTGAGAATTGAGGGTCTTAAGTCCAAAGCCAGTTTAGGCCACGCAGCAAGATCCTGTATCAAAACCAACCAGAGAAAACACAAACCAAGGGCTTGTGGGTGTAGCTCAGTGGTACAGTGATTGCCTAGCCTGTGCAAGGATCTGGATTTGACCTTCTTGGCATCACAAAACAAAACAGTACAAACCCCAACTCAGCTCAAATGCTACTTCATCTACAAAGTCCCTTTAGGCTGGGTCTGGGGCTCCCGGTCCTTAGGCTCCTTAGGACTGGCAGAGCTGTGTCCAGCATAGGCTAAGTGTGAGGCTAGACCCACAGAGGACAAAGGCTGGGGACATGGGCTGGCATGACCAGGACCTGGCTTCTAATGGAGTCAGTCCATCAACAATACGAAGTCAAAGCCTTGCATCATATACAACAGGCCTTCAATTGACTTTTAAAATATCCGCTGCTATTCCATGGCTCAGGAAAACTAAGTTCTTAGCAGAGTATCCAAAGTGGCACCATGTAAAAGGTTCAATTGGTTTGCCGAAAATGCACCCACAGCCAACAGCACCCTTTATCTGCTAGGATTTACTGCAGTTACGGCACACTTTCAGCACCGAGGTGATCTGTTGAGAGGTGGTTCCCTAACCTGGATAAGAACATCACTATTCTTTTCTAGAGGACGCCCAGAGCACACACTGAAGGTCCCTGACAGATGTCCATGGAAAACGGCTGGGAGGATGGATACAGCATCCACTAGGAGAAGACAAGAAGGAAGTGCACTGTGTACCGCCAAGACAACAGAGGCTTCCCATGGCACCAGGATGACCTTTTCAATGTTTAGAAGCCACACATTCTAGAAACACGTGGCTCTGAACTTTTTAAAATACATGCTGGAATTTTAGACTTCTGCCCATGATTTCAGGGCTTTGAGAACCTAAGTAAACAACTCTGGGAATCCTGAAATAAGAGATGAGCCACTTCTTCCAGCCTGGGGCCCACCTGCTTCCCACCGCCTTTATAAAGCGGGGGGTCACTCTGCCTCACCCACCCCCTCTAGGCTGCTGTTTCTCCTCCTTTTGTACACCCAGTGCTCCCTAGGCAAAAAGGCTAGCAGGCAGATGGGCCTGGAGCAGCCAATGGCCCCTCAGACAAATTTGCCTCAGTAAACTGCCTCTCCTCTGTAGCTGGCCTCTTTCCTAAGAGGCTCATCCCAGGCAAGATTAGTCAATCTAAACATATTTCCTTCCAGGCCCCCACCCCAAAGGACAGGGAGTGTAAAGAAGTGTAGAATTCATTGCTGGTTGAGGATAAGCCCATTTCAGACCATCAGAAAGCAGGAGGGTTTGGAGAGTGGTGGAAAGTCCCTCCACGTATCTAGCCTCAATCTTGCTCTGTGAACCCACAGTCCATTTCTCCCCCCCACCCCCAGCTCCAGAGAACACACAAGGGACATGGCCTCAAATGCCCCCTTGCCACCTCTCGCTGCCACCAAGGCCCCAAGGTCAGTAGGAAAGACACAGTACCACTTACAAGAGCAGAGAGTATCGGAGATTATTGCAGACTTTATAGAAAACAGCTCAAGGGAGGTCCAGATTTCTCAGTTGAGGGTGGGAAGGCGGGCCTCAAGCCAATACACAGAGGAGGAAGACTTCCTGTGCAGAGGCAGCACGGGCCTGCCATTCTGCCTGACTTAGGGTGAGTGGCAGCAGGGAGGCGGCCCCTCCTCACTCACCATTGTGCTTTGGGATCTTGCAGAAGGCAGGGCGCTGAGGCCATGACCTTGACCCAGGAAGGCTTGTGACTGAGACAAGAAGTCAGACTCTATCCTCCTCCAGAAGGCATGAGAGGTGGTAGCGAGGATTTCCCAGGGGAGGACCACATGGGTGAGAGAGAGTGCAGACAAACTAGACAGATAGCAGCTCCCGGCCTCTCTTTCCCAGATGGACCAGTGACCCTGGTTTGGAGGCCCTGCACACCCCACATGCTCTCTTCCTCACCAGGGTTTGCCTATGCGCCATAGGGTGCTTGCCCTTGTCCCGCAGGATGGGAGAACTCCTTCTAGGAGGGCAGTGGGTAGCACCCCATGATGGGGGAGATTCCTCTCTGGACCCGGATCAGAGGCAGGTAAAGTGCCGGTGATGGGTAAGCCTAAGACTTGGGCCAGGGCACGGAAGTGACCGAGGTGAAGAGCTGAGCTTGAGACTGAGGACAAACACTGAGCGTTGGGACTTCCAATTCCCGGTTGAAAAGGTTAAGGATGGATTCTACACCAAGGCATGTCCCTGGCTCGAGAGGGACAGGGCTGGAGCTGAGACCCAGGCAGGGCCAAGGAATGGAGAAGCTTGAGCTAGAATCAGTACATGAAGCACGCCAGACTAGAGGAGGCCACTTAAGCCACAGAGCCTCTGGATGTGGAATACGAGATGGAGGGCTCAGAATTCTGGGGTGGGACAAACGGCTCAAACTCCACAAAAACCTTCCGATAAGACCAGAAGTGATGTAGACCCCCTGAGCTCTGAGAAAAGGACTGAGGGCTCCTAACTGGGGACAGGGGTCAGTGCAGTCTAGCCAAGGTGTCTGGCTCAACACGTGTGTGGTGGAGAAAGCGCTAGAGATTTCCAAATGGAAGAGCGGGGTCTTGGAAACAGATGGGGGCATCTCTGGGTTTTTGACCTGGAAGCTCTTAGGCCAGGGGAAAAAACCAGTACACCTTGGAGTTTTGGGTTGGGAGAGATGCTACGATTGATCCAAAGGTCTCAGAGATCCAAACTCCATTGGTGTGTCATCTCCAGGGCTCAGGCCAGGCAGGGGAAGGCTGGGTGGTCCCAGTAAAGTTATCAGCTGACAGGGACAGCCTCCCATTAGGGAGGTGAGGCTCAAAGACCAGAGCCCGGGGAAGTGGCCCGGGAACCGGAGGGGGCAGCCGGAGTGGGCGCGCGGCGCGGGTCTGCATCCTGCTCATAGCGATAGTGGTAGCCTTCCATCTGGTCCCTGCAGGCCTCGCGCAAGTTGCGCATCCAGCGCTGGATGCCACGGCGGTTTAGGTAGAGCACCATGAGGAAGATGAGGCCGATGAGTGCCAGCACCAGGCCGAAGAAGACGTAAGAGGCTTCCAGCTCCGGGCCGGCGACGTCCACCTCTTCCCCGCGCTCGTTAGCATCGCCGTCGGCGCAGCCCATCCGCGCCTCGTCCAGGTCCACCAGTGGCCGATCGAGCAGCGCGCGCGGGGAGGCGCAGCGCAGGCGGCGCGCGTCGGGCACGCGCTCGGTAGCGTTGTGGAGCCAGGCCAGCAGGGGGCGCGAGGTGCACCCGCAGATCAGCGGGTTGTCCGCCAGCAGCAGGCGCGGCCCGGGTAAGTCGCCATCGCGCTCGAGTGCGCGCAGCTCGTCGGGGCCCAGGCCGGTCAGTGCGTTGACGCGCGCGTCCAGCTGCTCCAGGCGAGGCAGGCGCAGCGCAGCGGGCGGCAGGCGACTCAGCGCATTGCCCGCCAAGCCCAGCAGGCGCAGCTCTGCCAGCGGGGTGAGCGCGGCGTCCAGGGCATCCAGCATCCCGGGGCCGCCCCGCGCCAGCGCGTGATTGAGCTGCAGCGAGTGCAGCGCTGGCAGCCCGCGGAAGGCACGGGCTCCCAGGGCGCGAAGTGGGTTGTGGCTCAGGTCGAGCGCCGCCAGACTGGGTAGCCCGTCGAAGGCGCCGTCCTCTACTACCTCGATGTTGTTGTGTGTGAGGCGCAGCGCAGTGAGGAGAGGCAGGCGCACTCCCTCCGTCGCCTCCTCATCTCCTCCCGCGAAGGCGGCCGCGCGCAGCACAGTCAGGTTGGCGCCCACGATGGTGAGGTTGCGCGCGTCGGGCGGCACGTCCCGCGGCGGCTGCCGGAGCTCCGCGCCCGACGCGCAGCGCAACAGCAGCCGGGGGCTGCCGAAGCAGTAGCACTGGAAGGGACAGGGCGCGGCGGGCCGGCTCAGCGCCGCTGCCACGAGCAGCAGCCCCGGGAGCGGGCTCCAGAGCCCCCGCTGTCCCGCGCACGGGGCCATCGCGGCCGTCCCCGCATCCAGCCCCCAGCCAGCCGCGCTCACCAGTGAGTTGGGAGCGCTTGGTGATGATGGGGTGGGGGTGGCACGGGAGGGTGGGGGTAGGCTAGACCTTGACCCGGAGCGGCTGGCTGTCCCGATCTGTTTCTTCTGCTTGTAAAGTCCAAGAAGCCTCCACTTTGCTGACTGGGGGGCGATAGGGGTCAGGCAGGAGACCCCCGCCCCCGGTGCCCTCGTCGCCCTGCGCTCGGCCTCCGACTTCCGCGGCCGTTCTGGGCTCCGAGCCGAGTGGGCAGGGTTTGCCTCCCCCTCCCCGCCTCCGGGCCGCCTCCTCCACCCCCGGCGGAGTCTCTGCACCTCCTCGCTGAGGGAGGCGGGGTGGGAGGCTCCGGAGCAGCAAGGCTTAGGGCCGCTGTGCTCTCTAGTTCCCGAGCTGCTAAGAAGTTTGGCTCCCCGAGCTCTGACTTGCTTCTTTCCCCACCCCCTACGTTTAGGCAGGTTCTTTCCCTCCTCCCTCCTGGCACGTATGGGCGGGGCCCGGAGGGCTGACCTGGCAGGTGGGTCTGTGCACCCACCGAAGGTGGGAGAGGCGTTTAGAACTGCTACCCCTAGAAGAGGAGGTGGGGCTGAGGGTGGGCTGAGAAAGTTACTCTTCTTGTAGTCAAGGAAAGGAGCTGTGCAAAGGGCGAGAGCCTGGAAAATACCTAGCTTTGCCTGCCTCTTCTGCGATCCCAGTTCCTTTAGGTGCGGCCATTTCCTCACCTCTGCAGGTCCTGTGCGTCAGTCAGTCTTTTGTCGACTCTGTCCCATGCCGGAGGGGAGTCTACAGTACCCCCTGTCCCCACACTTCCCATGCCCCTAACTCAGGCTGCGCTGCCTCTGTCAGGACCTCTCCACCCTTCGGGCTAACCCCTCTCAGACTCAGGGACTGGTCGGTGGAGAGACTCAGCTCTTTGCTTTCCCACCTGCTCCAGCACCTGAGCACCCTTAGGATACGGTGTTCAGCTTTGTCCCTCCAAACTCCCCCACCAGTCAGTACTGAGTGGGGGTGCAGGTTGGGGGAGAGGGCTCCAGAAGTAGGGAAATCAGGAACTGGTTTTGTAGGGTGGGGTGGGGGTGTGGTAGCATCCAGGACGGAGGTGGGGGCTGAGCTGCTGATAGACTTGTTTTGTTCTGGATTTTTTTTTTTACTTATTTACTTTTGTGTTCTCTCTCTCTCTCTCTCTCTCTCTCTCTCTCTCTCTCTCTCCAGAACTAGGAAGCTCAAGACCTGATTTAAAGAGACAGACTCCGGAGCATTCCTGGTCTTGGCATGAATTATTCAGGTTGGAGAAGCTGACATTTGATCTCCGGGCCATTCGAGTATCTTGCTTGGCAGAGCTGGTTGGGATGGAGCCTCTCCTCCTCTCCAAAAGAATCAGTCAGTCTTTTTCTTCTGAACTGGGGATATTTGGTTGACTTTTCCCCTGAAGTTGTATTTAACAGATCGACCAGCAGATTGAAACTATTTAAGAGGCACAGCCTGCGGTGGTCTGGGTCTCAAGCAAATACCACAACAAGGGCCAGGCTGATGATGCTGGAGGTTGACCCAGTCCTCTCTCTCTCTCAGTCTCTATGATGGCTCTCCCAGTTACTGGAAGATGATAGTAGTAATTTTCACATTTAGAGTTAGACATGTCTGTGTACCTGGTCACATGAGTTTATACATCCGTGTGTGCCTCTACACAGAAAGGCAGGTTTTACACACACTACCCATGCCCATGTGTGGTCTCATAAATCTACGTGGGCATGTGTAGCCTTGCACAACTTGCACAGAGCAAGTTCAAACAGATTGGTCTTGCACAGGCTCATCAGTGCCTGATCACATAGGAATGTAGCTTGGAGGGCAACATGGCTTACGTCCATAGACTCAGAAGTACACCTAAGTGCTTGAATGCATATTTGCTGGGCCGGAGCAGGTTTCAACTACAGCCTCAGAGGAGGCGGCTTGCAGACTCACATGCAAGGGCAAACATGCAGATGGAGCCCTGGGCTGTGCTCTTGGTCGTTGGAGATCTCAGATCCGTTTTCTCCCATGGCACAGGTGCTCCAAAAATGAGGGACCAAAATCATCTGCCTCCTTGGCTGTACTGCATGGAGACCTTCTGCCTTCAGCCCTTAAGAAATTGAAGCTCACTGCCAAGGCCCGTGCTCCCTCTCAGGTTTTCATGGCAGCTGACTTCTGGTTGCTGCTCACTGCTCCCCCTGCAAGGAAAAGGGGCTTCAGGGCAGCAGGCAGCCTTCATTAATTGGTGCTGAACCCTTCATTTGGGGAAGAGAAGCCTAAGAAGAACCTACAGCCATTGAGCAAGGGGACCCATGTTCTCTGTGTTCTCTGGAAGAAGAGCCCTCTCTCCGGGAGTTGTGTACAGTAGGTGTTTTAATAAATGTATGTCCACTTGAGGCTGAGGCTGTTTGTGCCCTGATTCAGTCAATGCAAGTGTCTGTTCCTTGACCGGGTATCGCCTTTGCAACTCCTGGCTGTGCTTGCCATCTTCTTCTGGAATTGTCATTTAGTGATCAGAGTGTAAGAGCATTCTTGGGCTTTTAATCTGTCGGTAGTGGGGACTCCAGATCAGACTGATTCCTTTGTTGTCAGGGCAGAGCTCAGGGCTCAGCATGGAGAAGGAATGAGGGAGAGAACCTTCACGGAAAGTCTCTGGCTTGAGACCAGCGAGGTGAGGGTCCTCCTCTATAACTGTACCAGGAGACCCTCACCTAGAAGGTTAAGTGCTTCTCTCCCACTCCAGCCAGGTCAGGAGCTCAGGTTCCCACAGTTCCTTTGCAATACCAGTCCCCTGCACCCCAGGCTTCCTCTCTCAGCAGTGTGACTGGGAGCCTCTGGGTGGTGAGCTGACCCTCTCCAACTCTCCTTGAGCTAAGAACACTGCATCACATCCAAGCAGAGAAACTGGCAGCTGTGCACCTGGACCAGGACTCGGGGTTTTGTTCATTTGTTTGTGTTTTGAGACAGGGCCTCACCATGTCACTATGGCTGATCTGAAACTCCCTATGTAGACCAGATTGGCTGTCAAGATCTGCTTGTCTCTGCCTCTCAAGTGCTGGGATTTAAGGGGATTGCCAGCATGCTCAGCTTGGGTCTCTGTTCTTGAGTTTCTTATCCCACTAGATCTCAGGATTCCTCTCTGAGCCTTGCAAGCTGGTGTCCCTCCTGTGCTTGGATCTCTTCTCTCTGGCCTTTTTTTTTCTCCTTGGAAAGACCCTGCTTCTTCTATGCTCCTGTGCACCTGGAGCACAGGGAGGTTGGTGACTTCCCTGGGATCACCCAACAGCATCCATCCCTTTTCTCAGCGGGCACCAGTTCCTCATTGCCCTTAGAGATGCTCGAAGACCACTCAAACTCTTGGGGAAGTCCCTCTGTTTCCAAACCTCAGCTTCCCTATCTGAAACAGAAGAAAAAAAGTGTATATTGACAAAGGGCTTCTTAGTTCTAGACTCTTTAGATATTTAGGCATAGAAATAGTATATAACTCATTCATATCTGTGCCTCCACCTTCATATGTGGCCTTGAACTTGGCTGCTTGGCAGTTAAGACCTTAGCTTGCTTAGTCATACAGTGAAAGCAACTGTAAGCTCTCTCTCTCTCTCTCTCTCTCTCTCTCTCTCTCTCTCTGTGTGTGTGTGTGTGTGTGTGTGTGTGTGTGTGTGTGTGTGTGTGTGTGTTGGGGGATCCCTTTCGGGTGTTTCTCTGTCCACTTTTCTCTAAGGCAGATGGAGGTGCACCCCAGCAGTATGGCATGATAATTGTGGGAGACCCAGCTCATCTTTTCTTGCATCTCTGTGCTGCCCTGGCTGGGAAGGGGGAGCTTCACTGTGGGCCTCCCTCTTCCGTCACTCATCACAGCCTCCCTTCTCCCGCACTGCCTTGAGACACAGGAAAATCCATAGGCCCGAGATTCATTTTCTCTATTGAGTCAGCAGAGACCATACTCTGCTTGGGAGGGGTGGGGAATTGGCTTTTAAATAACTCTCTGATATCTAATACCCTCCTCCACTCTGTGGCCTGCCTCTGGGGAAAGGCTAATATAAATGAGTGGGCTGAGTCCTGGGGAAGTGTAAGTGCTCTTGCCACCCCCCTCCCCTTATGAACTGCTGACAAAGATATTCCCTGACTCTCCTGCACTGGGTCTGATGGCTTATAAAGGTGTTTCAGGCTGAGCTTGAGATCCCATTTAGAATCAGCAACTTACATTTAGCAAAGGGCAGGGGGCCCACAGCTTTTGGCTTTGGTCTCCTGCCGGGATGTGACTGAGCAAGCCACAGTCCTTCCCTGGGTTTTTAGTGGGTTGTCACTGGTTCCTCTGTAGCGGTGGGCTGTCATAGTTTGTTGCGTTGCCCTAGGCCTCCTTCCCTTGTAGAGACACCATGCTTCTCCATCACTCTTCCAGGAGAAGCCAAGGGGCACAGTCTCTGAATCTGAAACATAATCAGTGGTTGGCCCAGAATGCCACTGAGTCAGATGCTCAGAAGCAGGAAAGGGTGGGGAAGAGGGAGCAGCAGAGTTGAGTCCCTTCTTTTCCTACCCCATCCCTTCCCTGTTCTCTTCTCTTCTCTGTTTTGCAGATAAAAGTAGGGTCAAGAGCAAGAGTCCATTTGAATCTTGGCTTCCTTGAAACTCAAGGAAGGTCTCAGCAGCTGTGGATGCAGCTGGAGAAACTGGGAACAAACCCCTGATCCTGAGCTGCACAGGGTCCAGGCTTCCAGTATTGGAAATGAGCGGGCTTTGTTGATCTTCTGCATCGCTCAGAAAACAGGGCTCCATAACTGTTGGCTGCAAGAAAACACTGGCTGGGTTAGAGCTATGTATGAGTGGCTGGGAGTGTGGCTTAGTGGTAGAGCACTTGCCTAGCAGACATCAGGCCCTGGGGTCCACTTTCAGCACTTAAAAAAAAAAGTCACAAATAAAAAAAATCTGTGTTTGGAGTGTCAGCATCATGTACAGATACCCTCCCCATACACACACACAATTGCTTTTGAAGCTGTCCATGGGGTCATCTCAAATGAGTCATGACCCAGGAACTATATCCACGTTTTCTAACTCGAAGCATGTTGCTGGTACCATTTGCCTGATTCAGACACAGAATTGGGGGCTGAAGTCTAGGCAGGGTTTTCTTTTGCATGACTTCCTCAGCCTTCTCTTGGGCTCTTGTGCTCTTCCTTGGCTGTAATAGTCTTCCACT